CCCTCCCAATTCTAATCATCAGCATTAAATGATTAAATGTGTAGGTCACTTTGGGTCATATGGACATTTTAACAATATTAATTTTTCAAATCCACGAAGATGGAATGTATTTCCATTTATTTGTGTTCTTTTCAATTTAGTTCTTTTTTTTTTTGAGTTCCTTATATATTCTGTTATTAAGATCTTGTTGGGTGAAGAATTTGCAAATATTTTCTCCCATTCTGTGGGTTTTCTCTTCACTCTTATTTCTTTTGCTGAAAATGGTCTTTTTAGTTTGATGCAATCCTATTTTTTTTCCTCTCTCCTTTCTTTACTTTTGTTGCCTGTGCTTTATTTTCTTTTTAAAAATCATTGCCCAGGGGCTGGGATGGTGGCTCAGTGGTAGAGCCCTTGCCTAGCATGTGTGAAGCACTGGGTTAGATTCTCAGCACCACATTTAAATAAATAAAATAAAGATCCATTGAAAACTAAACAATTTTTAAAAAAAATCATTGCCCAGACCAATGTCATGTAATGTTCCTCCTGTTTTTTTCCTAATAGTTTTATAGTATCACATCTTACATATGTAAGTCTTTAATCCATCTCAAGTTAATTTTTGAATGTGGTGTGAGAGAGGAAGCTAATCTCATACATCTATGTGTGGACATCTAGATTTCTCAACAGCATTTTACTGAAGAGGGTAATTGCCCAAAAGCATGATCTTGGTGGGCTATATGAGGTCTTTTGGATTCCATATGAATAGGACTATGAATTTTAGGATTTTTTTCTACTTCAATTAAGTACGACTTTAGCATTTTAACTGCATTCAATGGATAGATCATTTTGGATAGTATGGACATTTTAGCACTATTAATTTTTCCAATCCATGAAGATGGAATGTCTTCATTTATTTGCTATGCTCTTCAGTTTCTTTCACTAATGTTTTATGGTTTTCAATGTAGAGATCTCTTGCTTCTGTGGTTAAATTTATCCCTACGTATTTTTATTTTATTTGTAGCTACAGTGAATGAGATTGACAAATGATCTGAGCAGACATCTCAAAAGAAGATATACAAATGGCTAACAATTACATAAAAAACTGCTCAATATTACTGGTTGTCAGGGGTATTCAAACCAAAACCACAACGAGATATCTAAAAACCCAGTTAGAATCGATATAATAATAATAAAAAACAAAACAAAAAGGCAAATGCTGATGAGATTGTGGAGAATAGAAAACTATATTATACTCGATTGGTGAGAATGTAAATAGTATAGCCACTATGAAAAATGGCATGGAGTTTCCTCAAAAAACTAAAAGCTGAACCAATATATGTTATAGTAATCTCATTACTATTAGCTATATATACATCCAAAGGAAATGAAATTAGCATATCAAAGAGATACCTACACTTTCATGTTTACTAAAGCACTATTTACAATACTCAAATATGGAATTTTGAAACCGTGTCCATCAATAGATGAATTGATAAATAAAATGTCAAACTCATAAATGAAATATTATTCAGCCATAAAAAGAAGGGAATTCTGTTATTTGTGGCAACCCAGATATGTTGGAGATCACGTTAAGTGAAATAAGCTAGGCATAAAAAGACAAATACTGCATGATTTCACTCACTTGTGGAATCTTAAAAAGCTGAGCTTATAAAACTAGAGGGCAAAATAGTGTTTATCAGAGGTTGGGAGAGTAGGGGAGATGTTGAGGAGGAGAGATTGGTTATTGTGTACAAAGTCACAGCCAGACAGGATAAATATAACTACATATCCTGAGTTTTTCAATACACAATGTATCAATGTTACAAACACCCATAAAGATGTACAATTATAATGTCAGTAAAAATAGCATAAAGTAAAACATAAAACTACAACAAACCCAGTCTAAATATCCCTTAATATTTTTATGTAATATTTCTCTAATCCCCAGAGCATTTTCTTCCTATAACTATTTTGATTACTTTATCACAATTATGTACATCTTGTTTTCATCACTAGACTATCTCATCTGAAGGGCGGGTATGTCATTAGAGTCCTCAACACGGAGCCTAGGACAAATATGATCGGCACTTCGACTATTTTGAATTGATAAAATCCAAAGGAATATGAAAATGACCCACCGTAGAATTTTAGGGTTGTACAATGTAATAGCCAGCTCAGAGATGATGCAGTATCTGAGGGGAAGTGGGCTGTGGGTAGTCTAATTAAGAAAATCATTTTATGGCAATTACCTGAAATCTTTTTGTCATTTCTTCCTAAGAAAACAAAATAATCCCACAAATTTTAGGACAAATCATTCTCTGAGCAGTCAGTATTTGAATAATTTTAAATACTGATGAATTTCTTGGTCATGAAAAGTTATGAGAAATTTATGATTTATAAATCCAAAAATAGGACTAATCTGATTATTATACATCCTATTCACGACACACATAACACTAAAATTTTGGGTAAGTAATCAGTGTGGATACCATCATAGACCCATCAGAATAAGATTAACTTCTGTATCAAAGTGCACCCTGCTTTACTAGTACCCTCTGTGCCTTATTTTGAAACTTAAAGATATGTCACGTTACTATTTTTCTCTCTGATGGATATAATTTCTCCTACATCCTGTGTCATGATAAGTAAAGCAGATTTCCTACTTCCCAAAACCTGCGTGCTTCCTAACAGAGAGATGATGCTAAAAACAGGAAGTTTCAGGTGAGGCTGTATCCAGTCAGGTTTCTGTATGGACTGGTAACTGTTGTCTACATGTAAACTTTATTTTCTTTAAATTCCACTAAAACAATAGAGAAGGCACAAATCTCAATTGGGAAATAAACTTCCAAAAGAAAAACACAGAGAACTCTATCTAAAGCTTCTGGGGCACCTCATCCCCTCATTACTTGGCATGTTCATCTCAGTTATTTAGATTTTATTTTTGGAAAGACTGCCTGGTTCCCTTCATGCTACTTTTATTTCTTCTTCCTCCTTTTCTTTTTATTTTAGCATGAAAGAGGAGATATACATAAACCATAAATTTCAAATTCAGAAAAACTTATATTTTACTATTTGTGACAGTTATATTAAAAAATATTTAAAAATCATTCATTCAGGAATCATTTGCAAAGACAGAATTGCATTCCACTATAATGTATACTATATGGATGTTGAACTTTAACAACATTTTTCCAAAAAGGAACTTTATGGACATAAAGATATTTCCATTATTATACTTGGAAACCTATCTGTGGAAGTGGATGATAAAGACCAAAAAGTGTCTCTACATGTTACTTCATGAGTTAGACTGTATTTTTCTCCTTGCATAAATAAGTATGTCAAAAAGAGAAGTAGTGTTGAAGTAGAAGAGAAAGAAAAAGAGGGCAGAAGAGGAAAAAGGGATATAAAGAGAGAGAAGCAGGAGAAAAACTTGAGTCAGCTTATCTTGAAGTGGCACTCTATATATTTTATTTCCACCAGTATTATATCTTCATTTTCTAAGATCAGTATATTCTTTTCTCTTTTTTTAATTGTCATTGGACTCTGTAATATAATTTTACATCATATATTATTAACATTTATAAGAAATTCTTGAAATCATTTCATTGTGATCAGATCAAAGTATAAATTTTGCTCACAAGACACACTGTATATATCACCTCATAGATTTATACATTTTATGATGCAAAGTTAAAATCCTAACATGGTCACACCTCAATGTAGTTTGTCTTAAAAAAAGGAAAAACCAGTATTCATGTAAACAGTACATTATGAGATGTAAAATTTGATTGATAACTCATATAACCTCAAATATACACAAATTATAAGATTATTCTACATGCTCATTCATTTTACATGTAAAGAAAGAAGACAATATTATAAAAGGCAACATTTGTTAAAAGGCCACTGTGGCTAACTTGGTGTCGCTGGAGTTAATACTGCAGCCACTGTTAATTTCCTGGATGTCTTGAGGTTAGGTAGGAGTTGATTCTGTCAAGGCAAACATCAAGTAATTCAACTTTGTCCAGATGACTGAACAGCTAGATTCCTTAACAAATTCTTTCAAATGCATTGTTTGGGTCAGGTTATTTTATTGCCAGGTCAGTGAAGGCATCAGAGACCTCTGTGTTGACCTGCATGGAAATGCTTGCTTGTGTGACGTTGAGGTAAATGTCATACTGCTGGTCCAGACCAAGGTAGCAGTCACTCATGAGATAGAGAGTGAAGATATACCTAGAATATGAAAATAGAACAAAAATGTAAAACTGTTTTTCTAATCAGGGTCACATTTAATTCTTTTATAACTTTAGTGGTAAGATTCTGCTTACCTTCCGGGTATTTCAGGGGTGAAAAAAGAAAGGGAAGCAATGTGATGATTTCGAACATATCCTACTCGTTTTAAAGCAATAAGTTCTCTCTTGTCCACTTCTCCTAATATCAAGAACCATCCTTCATCTTTTGATTTGGGAAATCGAGGGGTAACTGCAGAGCTCTCTTGCTTTCCCTATAAACCAGAGAAAAAGATAAAATATTGACTACATCTACACTTTTCACATGGTTTGGTAGTGGTTAAAAGGCACTGCTCGGGGCTGGGATTGTGGCTCAGCGGTAGATCGCACATCTAGCATGTGCGGGGCCCTGGGTTTGATCCTCAGCACCACATAAAAATAAAATAAATACAATAAATATATTGTGTCCAATTACAACTAAAAAAAAAAAAGGCACTGCTGTCTTACTGGAAGGCCATAAACAAAGAGTTCAGCACTTCCATCTGGGATGTCTTTAATTCCCTTCCTTTGTGGTGTTTGATACAGTTTTGTATGTTTCTTCAGTACATACAGAAGTAATACCTTTGAGCTATTATTATCAGAATATTTGGCTCAGAAAGAATAAAGCTCTGAATCCTGACATCAAATTAGTAAAATTTCAAGCCATTCCTCCACTTACAGACAAATAAACGGAGATATAGCCATGTGAACCAAATCTTCCCAGTCTTATTCACAAAGAACTGATGCTTAGGAAAACAAACAAAAACCAATCAAGACTAGACTGTGTAACTCAAGATAATAAGCACAATATCAGATCAATATCTTCTTTCCACCCAAGAATAAAATACACATAAAAAAGCACATAGTATATCAAAAGTTCCTTTCTCTGAGGAGTGAGGAATGATAAGTCATGCGATTTGTAACACACAGTAATCACCACAATTTAAGACTAGTACCAAAGTCGGAGCTGGGGTTGTAGCTCAGTGGTAGAGTGCTTGCCTAGCTTGTGCAAGGCCCTGGGTTTGATCCTTAGCACCACATAAAAATAAGTAAATAAAATAAAAGCATGTGTCCAACTATACCTAAAAATATATATATATAAATTAAAAACAAAAGACTAAAACTAATGTAATTACAGAATCTGGAGTCTTTATCTTGGACCGACTTTTACAAAAACAAGGTTATTGTAATGTGTCTTTAAGACAATGACTTTATGGCATAAAACATATTAATGATGACATGTTCCTATTGAGATTTCACTCTGTATTCCAGGGGGAGATGCTTTAGTTATAACATTTTATAACAGAGCCAGAGAGTAATATAGTTCCATAGCAGTTAGGAATAAAATCTACAATTTTTTTGAACATGATTAAATCTAATTTTAAAGTAGATTTTCAAGGTTAAAAAAAGAAATCTACTTTTGCTCCATGATTTTATCTTTATTATTATGATTTTTATAACTATTTCTATGATTAGTTTATGATTATTATTATTTTTTGGAAGTTGGAATTTAGAACATTTCATCTAGAAATGCTCATATTGAAGCTCTGAAATGCTAGAGGCCTATCAGTTTATGTTCGTATTGGCTGATATTTAGTATTAGAAATGAAATGAAGTGAGACCTGTACTGAAAGGTCATTGTAACAATACACATGACTATTCTATGAAAACAGAGGGGCTTTCTCATCCCAGAGGGTTACTCTAGATATTAAAAACCCTGAATCCATTAGGATAAAAAGAAAAAAAGGACAAATTCTTTCTTATTTCAATTACTATGATACTAAAAACCAATCTGCTCACACTATGTGTACTAATATTCTTAGAGGACTAAATAATTAATTTTGGTGTCAGAGGCTACAGAAAAGAGCATAGTAATTTAAAATAAAACTACTGTACATTTTTGGTCTGTATGAAATTGACAAAGCTCTCTCATGTGCATTATAATGAAGGAAACAGGTAGATGTGGCAACTGAGTCTCAGAAAAGCTTAGCATCTTATTCAAATTCAATAGAGCTAAGAAGGAAAGCTTCAATTTCATGTACATCTGGCCTGATATGGTTCCTATACCAAAGTGCCTCTAGTGCAGTGCTTCTCAAACTTTAATGTCCTTAAAAATCATGTGTACATGGGGGGGACTGGGGATGGTAGAGCATTACCTAATATGTGTGAGGCCACTGGATTCAATTCTAGGTACAAGAAAAAACCAAACCAAAACAAAAAAGGATTAAGTGGGGCACCAAAAAGAGCATCAGTTTTGCGATTCCCTCAGACCCTGAGATTCTGATTCAGTCATTCAGGAGTGGGGCCAAGAATCTACACTTTAAAAGGCACTCGAGGAAATTCTGCTAGACTGAGTGTGTAAACCACACTTTGAGAATAGTAACTCCAGGCAATATATGATTATGTAAGGTGGATATTCGGGGGTTGAAAAATGGCACACGAGAACTGACTGACTAATGTCAAAGACTGACTCTTGCTGGTTAAGGCCAGTTGAGAAAGCAGGATTCATGAATGACACGGACACATTAGTAATATAAAAGATATGTGTGGTGGCACATGCTGGTAGTTGGTGCGAAATATTTGAGAATGGAAACCAAATACTATACCTTGTGGAACCCAAAGTGGACTCTCTGCAAGCTGACTTGGAGCACATACTCCTGATCAGCATGCAATTTGATCCATTTGTTGTCATCTCGTTTGTCTGCAGTCAGAGTTGAGACAGAGAGTTCATTGTGTCCTTCAGCTAAGTCATCCCATGAGCCTTTAACACTTATGCCAACATCTATCACTGGCAAACGAGATAAAAAATTCCATGCCTAAAAAGAAAAAAACAAAAAAATGTCACATGGAGTGATCAATTAAGAAATAGTGTAATTTTAGAAAAATCAAACTTTTAATTTTGAGATTAATTCTGAATTCAATGCAATTGAAAGAAATAATGGACATCTTTTGCATCGTTTACCCAGTATCATTTTTCAACACTATAGCACAATACTAGGATACTGGCATTGACACAATCCACTGATTATTCAGGTTTCCCTAGTTTTTCTTGTACTTTTATGTAGGTGAATATATGTAGAACAGTGTTTTTTAAAATCCTCTTTAAGTTTTTTTTAAACCAAAAAGTTATTATCTAAACTTATAACTTATTATAAATGCCTCTTCATATTGACTGGTTATTGACTATACTTAAAAAAAAAGAGGGATTAAAAGTGTTTATTGCTACTTTTTTTTTTTTAAAGAGAAGCATCTATTTTAACGTTTATGTGACTTTTAAGGTAGAAAACATTACTTAGGGATATAAAGGAAATCTGAAAAAAAAATCTGTGATGCAATTGTTGATGTCAGTATAATCCAATGACCACTTGTTATATAACATAGGGAATCCTGTAAGACTAGGGTTCCTTCTAAAAACAAATAGGTTTTTTTTTTTTTGGCATTATCATGCTGAAAGTATCAGTTAAAATCACACATATTAAAAGAGTAGAAATATTTCACCAACTTTATTCTTGCTTTTTAAATTAAAAGATATTTGTGAGTAATCAGTATTCCAATAGTACATGCTTAACAATGCTGAATGAACAAATGAAGGAATGAATCTTATATCCATGGAAAGTATATAACACAATAAACTTGAGGACCTAGGTAACTGTAACCTTTTTTTAACATTTACAATTATGTGGTAATATAACTATTGGTCAAGACAACATCTTTTTTTTAACATTTATTTATTTTTTAATTGTAGTTAGACTCAATATCTTTATTTATTTTTATGTAGTGCTGAGGATCGAACCCAGGGCCTCACACGTGCTAAGCGAATGCTCTACCGCTGAGCCACAACCTCAGCCCAAGACAACTTCTTAATAGTTGTTTTATCAGTTGTTACCTTCTAAGGTAGTTTTTAAAGTTATACAATGACTTTAATTTTAGTTTTCCTTTTAGTTCTTTTATATATGGTATGGATTTCCTTATAAGCTTTAATTTTCTCTTTGCTAAGACTTTAGTGTTGCTGGTATATGTAATCAAACGCAGTAGCCCTGATGAACCAAACTATCACTTAGGAATTAAAAAAAAAATAAATCCAATGCAAAATTTCAATTCAACTCCAATTTCTGCAGAACATTTAATTTTGTGAAACAAAGCAAGTAACATTTACCACACAAAGCAAGACTTCATATGTTTTTGTACTCGTACCATTAAATTAGTTACCAATATGATGTTTTCTGATATTAGCAACTCACTGAGATTTTTCTTTATAACGCTTCCAAATGTCTACCTGGCTTATATATACATATGACATCTTTTTGTAGGACTTATTATTATGTTTTAACTTATAATGTGTACACATATATTTATTTGGTATATATGTATATTTATGTATATAAAACATGAGCTTTTTAAAAGAAACTGCTAAGATATTTCAATACCAGCCAAACATATTTATCTGAGGATTAATCTTCATCTATTGAATCAGGCAAGAGCACTGCCATGCATACAATTATTTAATTAGCAGCCAAATCCTCTGCCAGTCAGCAGCCGTTCCAGGCATACTGATGGGGTAGGAGATGCAAATCTCACAGTCGTACTGCTTTTTCTCATTACTACTGCAATTAGCACTTAAATTGATGCTTTAAACATACTAATTTCTGGAATAATTCAGGATTTGTATGTTACCTGGGATCGCCTCACTGCAGAGCCGACACCAGATTGCTCTGCAAATTGAAGCACTTTTGAGCCAAATAACCATCATCATATCAGACAGAGCCAATTTGCATTTGGTTTTAAAGATAACAGAATGGCAATTTATGCAAATAAATTAAGTAAGTTTACTTCTGAGTTCTCCCTGAACTAATTATAACAATGTTCTAATTTTTCATCACATCTAAAACTTGGCTTCAAATCAACATATGCTATATTAGAAATCTGTTGTTGCTAACAGAAACCTTGTTTTGATTTCAATATATTGCTTTTATTCATAATTTTAATGGTAATTTAGTTAGAAAGGTAGACATTTATTATGAACATTTAAATAACTTTTTTTGTGCCAATTTTGGGTTCAACAGAAACTGAACAATCAATCAGACATTAATGCCTGTTACACTTTTTCCAAGTCTTGTTCAAAAAAAGTTTTACTTGGAAAGAAAAAGAGATATGCTTTAAAAGTTTCTTTAATATGTGCACATACAAATGAATATAATCATGTTATAAATTCTGAACATTTACTCTGACATGTTTAGGGTAAAACTGCTTAAGACTTAAAAGGCTAGAAAGCCAAATATATCTGGCATTGTTCATTTGTTTTTTGGCCTTCCAAAGATTGTTTACATTTAACTTTCCATATAAGTTACATAGTTAACAAATAAGAGGTTTATTTGAAAGAATCTCTTTGAATCTAGGAACAATAATGTGATTAAAATAAGAGTGGAACATAAACAAGTAATTGAAGGAATTGTATGAAAATATACCCTACCATAAAAAGTGCAAAACTACCTAGAAGAGACGGAGTAGGCTCCTGGGTAATGCAATCTGGTGATGGACAGGCTAAATGAAGCTTTCCAAAGCGAGCTTGAAAGCATTATACTGAACAAGTCCTAATAATGCCAGTAATATTATTAATTACTATTACTATCATTTGTTCAGTTATTATTCTATGTCAAGAACTATATAAAGCAGTTTACATAATACTATTTTGCTTAACTTTCACAAGAATGTCATAAGATATATATAATGTTTCCATGGTTAGTAAATGGCAAAGACAGAATTTAAACACAGGTGGGGGTACAGAATAGAGGACACAGAGACTAATCCACAAAGCTACAACTCTCTTATATTTGATAAAGGAGCTAAAAGCATGCAATGGAGGAAGGATAGCATCTTCAACAAATGGTGTTGGGAAAACTGGAAATCCATATGCAACAAAATGAAACTG